AAAAGAACCAATAGATCCATTTTAGAAGTGCAGCCAGAGTGCTCCTTAGAGGTCAATATGGCCAAACTTCATCTCTCATACTTTGGACATATTGTTAGGAGGGACCAGTTGCTGGAGAAGGATATCATGTTTGGTAAAGTGGAGGGTCAGAGAAAAAGAGGAAGACCTCCCTCCCCCCAAAGAGATGGATTGGCCAAGTGGCAGCATGGATGGGCTCAAGCGTAGCAACAGTAGTAAGGTTGGCCCAGGATCTCACAGCGTTTCATTCTGCTGTGCATAAGGTCGCTATGGGTCGGTGCTGACTTGATGGCACCTAACAACAACAACAAATCATATAAAAGGAGTCTTGGTGTGGTGCTGTGGATTAATTCGCTAGACTGCAATGTCAGTTTGAACCGCAGGTCAGCTGTTCAAGATCACCAGCCACTCCTTGGAAACCCTATACAGGTTGGGTATCAGTTGGAACCCACTTGACGTCACTTAACAACAAATCACATAAAAAGATATTAAACATCATTCATAATAGGAAAGTGCAAAAAGGTATAATATGTACCATTTTGTATCTTTCAAACTGGCAAAACTTAATGTTTGGTAAGATAACTTGGACTGTATTAAAATTATCAGAAGTTCATTTTTAAAACACATTAAAGGAGCAAAAAGTAGGAAAAATCATCTGAAATCCTAGCTCTGACAATGAATCCCTTTCTAGAATATACAAATTTGGCACAAATGGCTAAGCATTTAACGACTGGCCTAAAGGTTGGTCATTTGAACCCAGCCAGAGGTGCCTCCAAAGGCCGGCCCAGTGATCTGCTTCTGAAAGATGACAGACTGGAAACCTTGTGGAGCTGCTCTACTCTGCACACATGGAGTCACCGTGAGTCAGGACTGACTCTGACAACCAGCAGCGGCAGCAGCAGCAGCAAAAAAAAAAAGACACACAACCCAATAAAAAATGGGCAAAATAACCTTACACAGTGTCTTCACTAAAGAGAATATCCAAGCCAATCAGGAAAATGCAAATCAAAACCGCAATCCTATAAAGAGTTCTGGTAGTGTAATGGTTACGATTGAGTTGCTAACCTCAAGGTCAACAGTTCGAAACTAGCAGCTGTTCCGCAGGAGAAAGATGAGGCGTTCTGCTCCTGTTAAGATTTACAGCCTCGGAAACCCTGTACAGGGTCTCTATGGGTCGGAACTGACTCCATGGCACACCACCACCACCACCACCACACCACTGTATACCAATCAAAGAGAACAGGAACACTCACCCTTATGGTAGAGATAAGCATAGTTCTCTTATAGTCCACAGTAGACACAAAGCCCAGAAAAGATGTCTATCTAACTTGTGGGGATCACAAAAACCTCTCTCCCTGGCAGAATGGCAGGGCCCACACTGGTTTGGCAGCTCTGTGTAGGAGAAGACACTTTCCTGAAGTAGTTTGACCCTGTTGGACTCAGAAGGTCTCTCCAGATCTTTTCTCTTCAGCCTCAACTGGCAGGGCCAGACCTATCAGCAGCACCTCTGGCCAACAAAACAAAGGGAGTGGACTTTGTCAGACTCCTTCCCACAAACTCTGAGTTCAAACTCAGTCCTCCTTCCCCAGAGGCCATCGGTGGCTCTGGGAAATGCCTCTCCTGAGACCTCAGATTGTTGTTATTTACATGTTGTATAAGCTGGTTTGCTGGTTTTCTTTTCTCTAGATAAAGTTTCCTCTAATCACTTTCCAGTTAGTGTGCACTTTTCAGGAATATCTGTGGGGGACTATCCCCAAGATTCTGTGGGAGGCTTAAGCCAATAAAGGAGCCACCACTTAATAACCACCTGGGGAATTTCTGCTAAGGTCCCTATGACTGACCTTTGAAACCACCCAGATTCAGTGGCCGTGAATGGCCTGGTCCTGAAGCCTCAGAAGTACTGTCCTGGGCCAGGACTCAGGTACCCTGGGAGCTGTGAGGACACCTAGGGTCACCAGCTGCATGCAGTTTACCTCACTCTCCTTAGATTACTAATAGGAGAGCAAGAGAAAACCTCCAAGCGCGCCTCATAACCCATTTTACAGATGAGACATTGAGGCCCACAAGGTAAAAAGACTTGCCCAAAGGAACACAAGTTCATAGCAGAATCCATGTCTCCTGACTCTTCACCTGAACTCTTGTCTTTTCTTTTTCTTTCTCTTTCTTTTCTTCTGTTTCTGAGCCATGAGGCCTTGGATTTCATAATAAACACCATCGGTTGAGAAAATGCCTGTCTTTTGACCAGTAACATCCCTCCTTCTTCTGATGAATCAGAATGCTCAGTGTTTGGCGTCCATCTGGATGAAGGCATTTACAGTTTACAAAGTCCTGGGGCTGTGCCAGGAAAATCCAACCAGAGTTTCCAGTTTGCATAACCTGAGCAGGACCTGGAGACAGAATGGGTTGGCTCTGTATCCAGCCTTTGGCTAACATGAGGCTGTGATCTAAGACATATCCCCTTTCTTCCTTCCCACCTCCCTCTTCAGGGAACCCCACCTTCTTCAGCTGGGCAGCGTGCCCCAGAACTCAGGACACATTGGCCCTACCTGCACCTTCACCTACATAAAACCAGTTGAGGAGCTTGTAGGACCATAAAGACTGCATCCTCTGAAGAAATTCCAGACCCACTCCTTCCTGAAGAGGAGGAAATCACCAAGCAAGAGTCAAGGAGCAAAGTCCTATCACATTGTGACAGAGGTGGGGAGTCAGCAAAGGCTGCGTGGAAAGGAAAGGCCCACAGAAGCACTACTCAGAGCTGGTCTGCCATGGATTTCCTGGTCCGACTCCTGCAGCTACTGGTGCTTCTCCTGACCCTGCCCCTGCACTTGTTGGCATTACTGGGTCTCTGGCAGCCCCTGTGCAAAATCTACTTCCCCTACTTGATGACCATGCTGACTGTCAGGAGGAACCGTATAATGGAGAGCAAGAAGCGGGAGCTTTTTGGTCAGATCAAGGAGCTTGCCTCTGGGACAGTGGACCTGCTGGAGATAGGCTGTGGCACTGGGGCCAACTTCCAGTTCTATCCACCAGGCTGCAGGATAACCTGCCTGGACCCAAATCCCAACTTTGAGAAGTTCCTGACAAAGAACATGGCTGAAAATAAGCACCTCACATACGAGCAGTTTGTGGTAGCTGCTGGAGAGGACATGGGACAACTGGCAGACGGCTCCATGGATGTGGTGGTTTGCACTCTGGTGCTATGCTCTGTGCAGAGCCCAAAGAAGGTCCTGCGGGAAGTCCAGAGAGTGCTGAGGCCGGTAAGCAGATCGGAAGGGTTTGGGTCCATAGGGCAAAGACAGCATCAGCCATCCCAGTGTTCAGGGCACCCTAAAACCAGTTACCATAGTAACCCCATGGGTCAGAGGAGCACTGTGCTATGTAGGGTTTTCAGTGGCTTTTCCTTTGAGGTGCCTCCGCGTGAACTCCAACCACCAACCTTAGGTTAGCAGCAAACCTGCTAACTGTTTGCACCCTCTAGGAACTCCTCAGAGCACCCAACTAAACCAAAACCAACCCCAATGCTGTTGAATTGATTCTAGCTCAAGGTGCCATATGTGTTGCAGAATAGAATTGCCCCATAGGGTTTTCTTTGGCATAATGTTTACAGACGCAGTTTGTAAGGCCTTTCTTCCTTGGAGCTCACAGGTAGGCTTAAGTCACCAACCTTTAGTTTAGCAGCCAGTTTGCAAACGACTTGTGACACCCAGGGTCCCTCCGCAGGGATGGGGAATTGGACATTGTAGCACCTTAGATACTCCCCTCCACCGCCATCTGCTGGTGAATAGGAAATGTGACCAATGCTATAAAAATTTGCAGAAGCATTCCTTAAGGCAGGGAGAGGCAGAGGTAAGGGGTCAGGGAAATCTCCTGAAGAAAATGACGGCTAAATTGAAATCTGAGGGACTAGAGGGGTATAAGGAAGTAGGCGGAAACAAGAGTGTTCATCCTGGTTTGGGGCTGTGGGTTAATGCACTGGACTGCAAAGTCGGTTTGAATTACAAAGTTGGCAGTTCAAGCTCACCAGCTGCTCCTAGGAAATTCAGAGTAGCTATGGGTTGGAAATGACTCAACAGCACTTAACAACAATAAATGTAGATATATTGGGAAGTAGAACACAAAATATTTTGAACTGGGTGTGGTACTGTAAGATAGGCATTGGACTGCTCACCACAAGGTCCGTGGTTCAAAGCCACCAGCCACTCCTCAGAAACCCTATACAGGGTTGCTGTGAGTTAGAACTGACTCGACAGCAACATGGAGAGAAATGCGTTTAGGGTGGTTTCCAAGTATGTGCGTAAACAACTTGAGGGAGGCATTGCGTGAAGGTGCTATTTGCTGAGATGAGGAAGGTGGGGGAGAAACCTATTTTAGACTTATAAGGTTTCTGAGACACAAAAAAAAGTTGCCATCAAGTTATCACAGTAGCTCTAGATAGGTTTGAAATACAAACCTTTTTGTTAGTAGTTGTTGTTGTTGTTATGTGCCATTGAGTCGGTTCCGACCCATAGCGACCCTGTACAGGGTTTCCGAGGGTGTAAATCTTTACGGGAGTAGAAAGCCTCATCTTTCTCCCGCGGAGCAGCTGGTAGTTTCGAACCGCTGACCTTAAGGTTCGCAGCCCGATTCGTAACCACTACGCTACCAGAGCCCCTTTTTGTTAGTAGTAGTGGTTAATTATTTGCACCACTCAGATACAGCCACTGAAACATCTAAACAGAAGTTAAATAGACAGTTGTTGTTACTATTGTTGTTAGGTGTCATCAAGGCACTGCCCAGTCCTCACAATTGTTCAATTGTTGCAGCCACTGTACCAATCCATCCTATCAAGGGTCTTTCACTAACTCCCTACCAAATAGGCAGTTGAAACTCAAGAAAGTCTGTCTTCTGGAGATAGGACTTGGAAGTCTTCAGCTGCTAAATTCAGAGCCTGGGGGTGGATGGGGAGAGCCTATCATGGAGTTTTAGAAAAGCTTAAGGAAGACCAGATGGCAGGTGGGTCCCAGGCTTCCCTCGGATATTCCCTGGGATTAGCACTGTATGTTTACAGAGCTGTCCAGAAAGCAGTTGGATGTATGCATCTGAGTCTTGAGACCAAGAATGGGTTGTGCATCTCTTTATATGGAGATATCCGCTCTCCCCACTTGTCTGCCCTAAGCTACATTGTTCTTAAAGAGCTCTCACGCATCATCGCCACTCAGTCAGGTGATATTGTCCACAAGGACTTTGGGTGGGAGGGTAGGTGCCAGAGTGCAGAAAAAGTCAGCAGCAAGACATTTTGCTCCATAAACTCTCAGGCCTACAACTTCTACTTCACCAAGAGATTTGAACATGCTTGGTGAGTGGGGGGGTGGTGAGGTGGGAGAACGGAGGGCAAAGGAGCAGCTAGGTAACACTAACTCTCTCCTCTCTCTCAGGGAGGACTCTTCTTTTTCTGGGAACATGTGGCTGAGCCATGTGGAAGCTGGGCCTTCATGTGGCAGCAAGTTTTAGAGCCCACCTGGCAACACATTGCGGGTGGCTGCTGCCTCACCAGAGAAACCTGGAAGGATCTGGAGGGCACCCAGTTCTCTGAAATCCAAATGGAGCGACAACCCCCTCCTATCAAGTGGTTACCTGTTGGTCCCAGCATCATAGGAAAGGCTGTGAAATAACTCTTCCCCTCGTCCCCAAGGTGGTCACTCATTCACTCTCCTGACCCCAGTCAGAATACTCTGACCCATTGGCCAAATCTGTTTTTTTATTGAGAGGATCGAGGCGGAGGGAAACCATTCACAAGATGACCACCTTCATTCTTTTCTCTCCCCACTCTGCCAGTGGGAATCTCTCATTTCAGTCCTTCCTTCTACAGTGAAAAAGCTCTACTCCTAACCAGATTAGAGAGAGAAAGAAAAAACAACTGTATCCTGTCATACTCTTAACCACCGATCTCTAGACTGAGTCTCCCAACTTGTGCACACCGACCTCCAGGCCAGCTCCATTTCCTTTCCCTTCTTCCCGTGGTAAAATCCCCCTCCCCACCTTCTGCCATCACACCCATCTGCCTCTAAAAATTAGTCCCAAAAGTCATGGTATGTGTGTCCTTGCCAGGCCACGTGACCCGTCCTCCCCACTAGCACCCATGTCTGACTTTTGGGGGTACTGAAGAGAATCAGGGATTTGCTATACACCCTGGGATGGAGAAGCAGGGTTCAGCAAAGAAGCCAAATGTTTTTGTCCTCACAAGTTTTTTAATAAATAGATAAAACCCATTAGACTGATGCAGCAAACTAAGGTCAGGGGAGATGGGGAAGTCGGGAGGGAGGAGCCCCTGAGTCAGTGATGCAGCCTCCTCCCTGGCCCTCTAAACTAAGGCACTTTGGGGAAACAGGTGCTTGGGGTCTTATTATACAGAGTGAATAGGAGAGGGGAGGGGTTAGGATCCTATCTCATTACCTTTGAGTCAGGACATCCCTGCCCTTTTCACCCTACCCCATAGCCCCATCCCTGATTTACCCCCTCAACACAGCATTCCAGGGGGAAGTGTTGGGATCATCCTAGTAGGGGTGAGGGGAGGTCTTTGGCCCTGAGGAAGCAGATCCTGCCAAATCCTGATACAATACTAGCAACCCACTCTCTTCATTCCCTAGGAGCCATCGCTAGGGAAGAGGTGGAGGGACCCATGGGCCAGACTGGAACAAAGGAAGCTAGGCAGTGGCTGACACAGGATGCCCATCAGGGCCTAGGTCAGGGTGCCCATCTGCAGCCAGGATGGGGTGTGCATCCGAGCTCTCTGGCCGGGGGCTGTTCCAGTTGTTCCTCAAGATGGTGCCCGTCTTCTCCTCCTTGAACTGCTGCCGGTCTTCTCGTGGGATCTTTACCGCATGGTACTGGGGCACTGTGGCCTCAGGATACCGTGCCCGCTTGAAGAATCCCATCTGTAAGGACATTTAGAGTCAAGAGGGTTGCAGCCCCTGGAACAGATGCCCAGCACAACACAGCTCCCTGCCCTCATCATCCCTAGCACAGAAAGAACCAACTCCAGCAGAAAACAGATAAGTTAGACAGTATCTAGTAAGCCTCCATCATCAGTGCTGTATTCTTGGCTCTCATTCACATTCGGGGACCAAGAGGGGGGATCCGGGGTACAGGACCAAGGACATCTCCCTCGGCCTCTGAAAGACGGAGTTGAAGGTAGAACATCAGAATCTCAGACTCCACCCACCCAAGCTTTTAAGAGACCCGATAGCCTCCCACAGAACACAAACAAGATCTGAAGAAAATAGCTTCCTAGACCCCTGCATCCTCTAGGATGACTGCTCTATAGTCTCACACACATACACACCCTGTACACATATATATTACACAGCATCCCTTCTAGGGCAGGGCTTACTCAAACATGGTAATCAAGTGCCTCTCTAAGTCATCAACATGCTGATCCTTACAACCACGGCAGAAATGTGACCCTGGAACACTCATATTCAGGACTGCCAAAACTCCTACATGCTCAGACTCCTGCATGGTATCTCCTTACACAATTGTCTCTGTACACTCATGCCCATAGAAAAGACATGCATAGTACCTCCCTACACTCCCACATGCTCACACTTCATGAGTCCATTCAACCCCTTGTGCATGCCCAAGGCTGTGCATACTCACCCTTATAACCTCCCTCCTTATTCCACCCTATTTCCTGGTACTCACACCATCTTCATGCAATCTCATTTCTTTGCCTTGCACACTCACGACCTCCTGGATGCTGGAAACTCTAGGAAGCTCTACTTAAACTTCCACACATACATATTTACACACATATATTTGCACAACAACACATGTGCATACACACAACAGTTACCCCACAGTCCCTGGACCCACAACTTCCATAGCTGAAGGCTGCACAGCCAGATGAGCCCAGTGATAGTTGGTGAGAAAAGATGAGCTCTGGCTGCTACAGTGGAAGAAACCACACTGGGATGTCGAGGGGAAAGTAAGGACAAAAGAGGCAGAGGATGGAAAGACTGAAGAAAGATGGAAGCAGGGAGCAGAGATCCCATGGCCAGTTTCGTGAAGGCATCAATCTCCCCTAAACTGGCCAGGTTCCCAACAGTTTGGGTGCTACTCCAGAGGCCTGGACCACTGATAATTCACATTTGCCAACTTGTGCTCTTGGCCTGTGAATGGTCCCAAGGAGGGGTAAGTGTTGTTAGAGGGAGTAGGGAGTTCCTATCAGACCCCAAGAACTTGCATGGCCCCACACAGAACCCTAGAGGTGGCACAGTGGTTCTGAATAGGAATCCTGGTGATGTATGTGAATCTCTGTACTGACGCGTCCATGTGTAATCTTTAATGTTGTGCCCTAGACCCGAGTGTGAGTCTATGTACAACTCTGTGTTTTTAAAACTGGTCCCATGTAGAACCCAGAATCTGGTGGCTCCAAGTTCAGGCCTAGAGGCATTTCTCTGGAGGCTGTTCTCCACGTTTATTGGCTTTAGTGGCCTCAATTTCTTTTCCAGCCTACCTGCCACAATCTAGTTAAATCAGACTACATTTCCCTGCCTCTGTGACTTTGCCTTCCATGGTTCTTCTGGAAAGCTCAGACCCCATCAACTCTCTCTCCACACATCCCAATTCTTCTATTCCATCTTCCTCTAAGTTCCTCTCAATCTTTCCAGCTTCTGAACTCACACTATACTTTCTCAACTCTTAGCAGCTTCTGTCTTGTCCTTGACTACAAAGTTCACCTCCCCCACTAGACTGTAAAGTCTTTGAGGATAAGACCTGTATCTGGTTTATCTTTGAAACTTCCAGGGCTAGACAGAGTTCCTGGTACAAACCAGGGTAAGTACTCAATGCATATTTGTTGAATAAGTGGGTGGGTGAAAGAACCCCAATATGCAAAGCTACCTGCCTGACAGGGAAACTCAGTCCCCACTGACCCCCATCCCCAGGCCTCACCTTCCACATCAGCAGCACCAGCAGAGCCAGGACCAATAGCCCAGCCAGGACAGCTAAGAGGATGACCCACCAGGGGACTCCTTCTGCCACCACAGCCACTGGGTCCAAATACACCATCACTGGAATCTAGGGAGCAGGCATTAGTGGAGCAGAGAGCAAAAGAGAGAAGAGCCCCCACTCCCCCAGTTCTGCAGCTCACCACTGTGGAGGCATCTCTGAGCAGCAAGTTCTTGATGGAGGACTTCACTGTAATGTTGGCTCGGACAATCACTTCCAGGGATTTTACAGCTGAATACTCCTAAGGGAGCAAGGAATACGACCGTCCTCCTAAATGTCCCCATGGGCCCTCCCTTCCATCCAGTCTCTGAAATTGCAAGTGGAATAGCATCCAATATAGAGAGTGTTTCTGCCTCACTGGGCTAAGGATGCACTGCATTTGGACTGAGAGGAGGTGGAAGAGAATCTGAGTTCCAGAGGAGCAATTGTTGAAGAGGAAGCCCAACCTGGGGTCCCAGCAGAGCCCTCACCTCCAGGAAAGTGCTGTTCCATAGGCGGCCCCAAACGTGCAACACAGCCGCGCGGTCAAAGCTGTAGAGCGGGCAGCTGAACAATATACAATTAGCTGTGCCCCGAGCACAGTCCTGGGGACAAGGAAAAACAAAGCTCTAAGCCACCTGACCCCATGCCACTAGGCCTGTCCCAGGGCTGGCACTGCCCAAACAGAGTCAGTCTGGAGTCTTCAAGCTCCTACCCTGTGGACTCCCATTTCTGCTGCTTCTCACTCACGGTTCTTCCATTTTCCTTACCTGGCCTCAAACCTTCCTCCTCCAGGACATCTTCCCAGATTAACCCTGTAGTCTACCTGGATAATCCAAAATAGTGATCTACTCCAAAATCTGAGTTATTTGGCTTGAAATGAAAGGATGAGGGGTAGGGGTCTTCTTCCTTTACAACAGCAAATAAAACAGCGTCCCTAATTGATGTTTCTAGGATCTACTGATGGTCCCACTTACTGAGCAACTACTATGGGCCAGGTACTTATTTCATTTCAGCTTCACCAGTTTTATAAGGTGCATATTATTAACCATTTGACATATAATCAATTCCAACCTATGGTGACCCTGTGTGTGTCAGAGTAGAACCATGCTACATAGGATTTTCAGGGGTTGATTTTTCAGCAGTAGATCACCAGGCCTCTCCTCCAAGGAAACACTGGGTAAACTCAAGTCTCCAACCTTGTCACTAGCAGCTGAGCTGAACATGCTAACTCATGTTTGCACCACCCAAAAACTTGTGCATATTATTATCATCTACATATTTCAAATGAGGAAAGTCAAAGAGCTCGGGCAAACTGCCTCAGGACACAAAGCTAGCAAACTTAGTAATGATTGAGGAGACAGTAGAACCCAGATCCATACTCAGCAAAGGTACACTCCTGCACTAAGCTTAAACTCACCAGGGGTGGAGGGGTGCTCTGTTCCTGCCAACCTGATCAACTTCCATTTGGTGTAATCCCCACCTGATTTGCCTCAAAGTTATATCATATTCATCATACTTGCCACAATCCACTTGCAAAAGAATGCTTGAGAGTGTTTGAACTATCTGGGACATCTTTTATTTCACTACTTTTAGCAATTCAAAAGGCAATCTGTCTAAGAACAATCTGCCTTAATTTCAGGTAAAAGAATCCATTTTAAATTTCTTACTAGAAATAGAGGCCTTCAAAAGAAAGTCAGTCATATGGGGTAGGCAGGACTGTCCACGTGATAGTGAACAGCAATTAGAGAAGTTCACACACTCCAGAGGCTTCTTAGTGAATTGAATTGTGTCCCCAAAAAGGTATGCTGAAGACCTAACTTCTGGTACCTGTAAAAAGATGACCTTCTTTGGGAATCGAGTCTTTAAAGATGTCATCAGTATGACATGAGATCATACTGAAGTAGGGTGGGTCCTAATTCATTATTTGTGTTGTTGTTGCTAAGTGCCATCGAGTTGTTTCGGACTCATAGCGACCCTGTATAGGGTTTCCAAGGAGTGGCCAGTGAGTTTGAACCACCAATCTTGCAATTCAAATGACCTTGCAGTCCAGCGCTACACCAGGACTCCGATTCATTATTACTGGTGTCTTTATAAAAGAGAAGCGATACAGAGATAGATACAGAGAGGGCAGACAGTCAGTCATGTTAAGACAAAAGCATTCATCTACAGGTCAATGAATGCCAGGGATCATAGGCTGTCACCAGAAGTGAGGAAAGCAGCTCTGAGTAGACTTTCCCTCAGACCCTTCAGAAAGAATCAACACAGCAACACCTCGACTTCAGGCTTCCAGCCCTCAAAACTGAAACAATAAATTTCTGTTCTTAGAAACCAGCCAGCATGTGGTGCTCTGTCCTAGGAAACCAGTATACTTCATTTTGCCTCATGGCAGCCTCTCAGGAAGTGGGAAAGCTGAAGGCCCTGGGAAGAAACTAGGTACAAAAGGACTCTCTCCCAGACAGATGGTGACAGAGCTGGACCAGCTCCTTCCATTCCTGAGACCATGAAAACAATCTCTTCCACCTCTTGATTCGATTGTCCACCCTACAATAACTGGCATTCATCCTCTCACAACCAGGCCCTAATGCACCACACTCACTGCCAGTGTCATCCTAAAAGGGAAGAAGCACAGAACATGTATTAATTTGCCCAGTAAATCCATTTGAGGGGAGGAGAGAGGAAATTATTGGCTGGATGGCTTGCTGTTGTTGTTAGGTGCCATTGAGGCCATTCCAATGCAGAGCAGCCTTGTGCACAACAAAACCAGACTGCTCAGTTCAGCACCATCCTCACAATCACTGTTCAACTTGAACCCATTGCTGCTGTCACTGTGCCAATCCATCTCACTGGAGGTCTTCCTCTTTTTCGCTGACCCTCCACTTTAACCAGCATAATATCTTTCTCCAGAGACCAGTCCCTCCTGACAATATGTCCAAGGTATGAGTGACGAAGTCTCGCCATCCTGGCTTCCAAGGAGCATTCGGGTTGTACTTCTTCCAACACAGACTTGTTTGTTCTTCTAACAGTCCAAACAAGTTTATCAAATTGTATCAGATGACGCTTTTTTCCTCTTCTTTCTTCTTCGAGTTCAGTTCTGTTCATCCAGTCATTGAAGCCAGGTCAAGTGGGTATCATCTACAAGTGTGGGTGTTCTTGCATCTGTATATTTAATATTCTGTTATAACACCACAACTCAAATGCATTAATTCTTCTTATTATTCACTTTCTTATTCACTGTCTTTCTTATTCACTGTCAAACTTCCACATACATATGAGGCATTGAAAATACCATGGCTTGGGTCAGGTGCACTTTAGTTCTCAAACTGACATCTTTGTTCTTGAACACATCAAAGATCTAATGGAGCAGATTTGCCTAATGCAATACGTCCTTTAATTTCTTGACTGCTGCTTCCAAGAGTGTTGATGGTTGATCCTAGCAAAATGAAGTCACTGACAACTTCAATTTTTCCTCCATTTATGATAATGTTATTTATTGGTTCTTGGTGAGGATTGTTGTTTTCTTCACACCGAGGTACAACCCATACCAAAGGCTGTGGGTTTTGATCTTCATCAATAAGTATTTTAAGTCCTCTTCACTTACAGCAAGCAAGGGTGTATCACCTGCCTATCACAGGTTGTTAATGAGTCTACCTCCAATCCTGATGCCACATTCTTCATCATATAATCCAGTTTCTCGAATTATTTGCTCAGCATACAGATTGAATAAGTATAGTTGAAGAATATAACCCTGGCAAATACCTTTCCGGATTTTAAACCATTCAGTGTTCCCTTGTTCTGTTCAAATGACTGCCTCTTTGCCTATGTAAAAGTTCCTCGTGAGCACAATTAAGTGTTCTGGAATATTCACACTCCACAATGTAGTCCATAGCGTGTCACGAGCAGCACAGTCAAAAGCCTTCTCATAGTCAATAAAACACAGGTAAACATCTTTCTGGTATTCTCTGCTTTCAACCAAGATCCATCTGACATCAGCAATGACAGCCCTCGTTCCATGTCCTCATCTGAATCCTATGTGAACCTCTGGCAGTTCCCTGTCAATGTACTGTTGCAGCCACTTTTGAATTATCTTTAGCAAAATTTTACTTACATATAATATTAATGATATCTTCAGAAGATTTTCACATTCAAGTTTGATCACCTCTTTTGGGAATGGGCACAAATACAGATCTCTTCCAATTAGCTGACCAGGTAACTGTCTTCTAAATTTCTTGGCATAGATGAGTGAGTGCTTCCAGTTCTGCATCAGTTTGTTGAAATTTTTCAATTTGTCTTCCATCAATTCCCAGACTCCTGTTCTTTTTCTTTGCCAATGACTTCAGTGCACCTTGGACTTCTTC